TAGCAGCAAGCTGCAAAGCAAAGGGGGGAGGTCACTCCACGGGGGAACGTGAAACGTAAAAGCGCAGCTGTGTCCCGACCGCAGGAAGCCCTGTACTTACGACATTTATCTTTGATGCTCTGGATGAGGGCACATTGCTTTAAAAAGAGGGAAAGAGGTGTGAGGACAGCAGGCAGAAGGCCCGTGGACAGCCCTGGCCGGTGTGCGCAGTGGTTAGAGCACCGGCCGCACACCGAAGGTCGCGGGCTTGATGCCTGGTCAAGGGCACGCGCCTGGGCCACAGCTCGATCCCCAGCCCTGGTCAGGCGAGTGCGGGAGGCACCCCATCCATGTGTCTCTCCCCCCCTCCCGTCCACTCTCTAAAAACCAGTGGAAAAAATACCCTCGGGTGAGTATTAACAACGAAAACACGGACAACGACTCACGCTGCTCGCGGGCTACTTACATCGATGGAGTCGCCTCTGTTGCCCTTGTGACCCTGAAAAACAAGGAAGGACAGACTGACGTGTGGGACGTGGACACAGGGAACGTCCTCGGCCCACGGAAGTGCGACCCGGGAAGCAGAGGTGGACCCGGCTGGCCTGGGCCGTCCTCAGACTCTCCCCACAAACCGGACTTCGCTGCTCGAGGAGCCAAGGGGAGGAGACCCGGACGCCAGGCGCGCTTCACGCCCTGGGAGGGGAGGCGCCGCTCCCCCTGAACCCCGGGAGCGGGTCGCAAACCCACGTGGGCCACACGTTTGCGCGAGCCCAGCCCCCTGTCTCCAGGAGAAGAGCTCCTTCCACCGGCCGGCTCAGTCCACCCTGCTCACGGGGCACAGCGCGGGGCCACCCAGCTGCCCCCCACCCCAGGTCCAGCGCACCCCCTGGTTCCACGCAGAGAGGGACCCTCGGCCGCCCTCAGCTACGCATCCCAGTGTGTGTCCCCCTGACGGTCAAGCAGTCGCCTCGTGGGCCCCTCGGCGTCCCTCAGGTGCGCGGTTCCCGCCCTGGATCCCACCGCAGCCGGCACGTTGATCCCATTAGGTGCTTCACTCGAGGGACGCCCCGCGCAGCCTCCTTCCCCAGCTGCACCCCGCCCACCCCTGGGCCTCTGTCTAGGAGCAGCTCCGTCCCTGAGTCACCGATTCGTTCTGCTTTGACCCTCCTCAGTGTCAAGGAGGGGAGACGGAGGGCGAAGTTCAGGTACGGAAACAAGGGCCCGTGAGGGAGAGACGGAAGGAGGGGCCGCGAGGGGCCCTCCCGGCGCCCGCGCCCGGCGGCCACCGGCTCTAACCACCGGCTGGGAGCCCACTGGGGGTCGAACGGACAAAGGCGGTTTTCCCGGGACCGAGGTCTGACGTGATTATAGTCCAGCCACAAGGCGCAGCCAACAGGTAGTAGGATGTGTTCCCTCTTTGTCCCCTACACAAGCCTCGAGCAAGAAAATCACAGAAGCAAACGGCGACACGCCCTGGGTGGCAGAGCCCAGGGCCGGCTCCGGAGCCCGCCCTCCTCGCCGACGGGAGGGAAGCGGCTACAAAGAAACAACAACAAGCAACAGTAACAGCGAAGGCTGGCTCCGGAGCCCGCCCTCCTCGCCGACGGGAGGGAAGCGGCTACAAAGAAACAACAACAAGCAACAGTAACAGCGAAGGCTGGCTCCGGAGCCCGCCCTCCTCGCCGACGGGAGGGAAGTGGCTACAAAGAAACAACAGCGAACAACAGTAGCAGCGAAGATGCAGCGTCTCCGCGAGGAGAGAGCGGGAAGTTTCCAGGGGCCGCGCGAAAGGCATGCGGCCCGCAGGCGGCGTGATGGGAACTTACGGACGGGCCCGGGAAGCCTGGGTCTCCCTTCTGTCCCACTGTCCCGGGAGGTCCTGAATTTCCCTGCGAGGGCAGAACAGGCATCGCTCAGTTGTGGCAAAGGAAGGGCCGTTCGCAGCTCCCGCCGCAGGGAAGGGCGGTGAAGGTGACCTCACCCGACGGCCCCCACCCACATGTTCTCGTTCTCGCCATGACCACGGCCCAGGCAGACTTACCCTTCGGCCTCTGATGCCTTTGGGTCCCGGTGCTCCCCCTGTTCCTGGGTCGCCAGGGGTCCCCTGAGAAGAGAGCCCGGCAGCGGCACATTAGCTCCGGAGTGGAAGGCGCAGCCGAGGGTCCCTGGGGCCCCCGGACCACGCTTCCCCAGGTGGCCGACGGCTGGCTTTGGTTCTTGCTCAGGGTTCCTAGTGTACTTGTGTCTTTTGCAGATTCAGCCTCAGCTTATTAACCAACAATAATAGCATCTTGTAGATGCAGCGTTTTAATGTTTACAAAGTATCTTGTTGCAGAGTCATCTCATTTCATCCTTAATACACCAGGACAAGTGCTTACTGTCCCTTCCATTCGACAGATGAGGGGCTGTCTTAGAGGCAGTGGGGTCTCCCCCAGCGTCACTCAGTTTGTAAGTGGCCAACCCAAGACTGGAACCCAGATATTCTGATTTGCAGCCCACGGACACCCCCAATTCATCCTGAAACAATCATGATGTTTTACCACCAGGGGAGTATTTACCTTTGGACCTGGGTATCCAGGAAATCCCCTTTCTCCCTGTAAAAGATAAATAAATGACTTAATATTTGGTTTCAATCTAAATTCATCTAAGATAAATTACTCCTGGGCAGGAAAAAATATATATCTGTAGAGTCATCAAGAGAAGGAAAATTCACTCTATTACAATGAAATTTTGAGAAAGGATTCTGTAAAAGTACAGCACGGCAGACACACAAACCTTTTTGCCTTTGCGTCCCTCGCTGCCAATCCCATCGCGCCCGTCATCTCCCTAATTGTGGAAAGACGGCATTACTGCGAGTCACCTCGGTGGGCACGCCGCGCCCCCTAAGGCCCTGAGCACAGGGTCCTTGAGTCCCTGAGAGGTTCCCAGGTCAAGGTGTGGCTCCCGGAAGGGTTCCTGTTCCTACTCACCCTCCAGGTGTAAGAAAACCATGCCCAGCCTGCAGGTGTGGCTCAGTGGTTGAGCATAGGCCCAGGAACCAAGAGGTCACCGGTTCGATTCCCGGTCAGGGCACACGCCCGGGTTGTGGGCTTGATCCCCAGCAGGGGACGTGCGAGAGGCAGCCGATGTTTCTCTCTCTCCCCCTTCCTCTCTCTCTAAACTATGTATTAAAAAACTTAAAAAAAAAAAAACAGAAAACTGTGCCCGTAAGAGGGTGGGCTTAAAGGACTCCTTGGGAAATGGTGCAGGTGGACTCCCAATGTAAAGAACTACAACCAGCTGTTGGTAAGGTTCGGCTTGCAGGTGGAGTCAATGACTCATCGAACCTGGGGATCTCAGAGTCAAAGGAATCCTAAAGGTCACCTTGACCCTGTGCATCTCTGAGTCTTTGATCCGACTTCAAAGCAAAAGCTCGAGACTCACTGTCTCCCACCCTGAGGGGCCTGTGCCCAGCCTTCTCGCCTGGGGGATCCGAACACCCCCTGCCAGGACTCTCAGATCCGCCCCCATCACTTTCTCCTGGGGGCTTTCAGAACGGGGCAGGATGACTTCAAAAGAGCCAGAAGAGTTCATGTGAAATACACGCCGATATCCCTAAAACGCGCATGGAACGTGCCACTTGGTTAATGCACAGTTTTAGACGGACATCAACAGAGAAAGAGCCGTGGCCCCCACAGTCAAGGAAACAGACCAGGGTGAGATTTTCTTCAACGGTTTGAACAGATTTTAAGTCTGATCCCCCCCCCTGCTTGTGAAACTAAGAGTAACAGAAACGGATTTTTTTTAAACTTCAGTGATCTGTAGAGAAGTCACGTACACAAGAAAAATACTCTAAAGCTTTAGGGGTATAGGGCAGGTAAACCTGGTCGATCTGTACAGTTTTTAGATACTGACTCATTTTAGAAAAATTCCCAACATTCTGCGGACTTCTTTTCTCTTGTATAGAAATACATCCTACAAGGTTATGGTCAGTAGGCAGTTAGATTATTTTAAATAACAATTTTTTAAACGCATTATCAGGGTAACGATTTCTATTACCAAGGAAACTATCTCGGTCTGAACTGAGACCTTATCAGACCCACTTCCATTTTGACCCAGGGACAGGTATATCTTTGCAGAAAAGCTCCATGTGGTTGTGCCCACAGGGCATTCGTAAGCCTGGAGGGGAAGGCGGCCGAGCTTCAGGGAGCCAGCGCGTTCACAAACCCAAAAACTACAGAAAAAGGTCTTTACGCCTCCCGCCCACAACGAAACAAACTTACTTTGACATTTACTTGCTGATTATACGCACTAGGTTTCACTATTTTCAACCCCATCCCCAGTGGCGGGGAAGCAGCTATCAAGTTGCCTCTCCCTGGACCGAACCTCGTCGGCTGTGACAAAGGAGAGCTGGGCACAGGCCCACCTCCCGCGGCGACGGCGGGCTCTGATCTTACCGTCTCTCCACGGGCGCCCCGGTTCCCGATCGTGCCCTTCGGTCCTGGATCCCCGGGCTCGCCCTGCGCGCGAGAAACGAGGCTGAGACGCCTGAGGGCCGAGGGCGGTTTGCCACGTGCGTCCCAGCCGCCCTTCCAGGTAAGGCCCCTGCCGACTCCACCCTTAGGATTTTGATAAAAATGATCTCTCCAGGGGCACCGTTCAGGTGAGGAGCCCTGGAGGAGCCCGGGGAGGCCGCAGTGTGTTCTTCTCAGGAACATGGCATAGAGGCATGCGGGCATTCGGACGGTGCGGGGTGGGGGAGAGACAGAGACAGAGAGAAACAGGAAAGAAGCAGCCAGGAGAGCCGGTGGGCGCTGAATTCCACAGGGAGACCCAACACCGCCCACAGGAGGCAGAGAGAAAATCCTGGACGGACAGGACACGGTTCCTGTGCTGAGGACACACTGCCCTTTCAGGCTGGCTGTGACGAACTGTGTGGTTTTCTCTCAAGGTCTGCGGAAAGCAGGTCCTCAGACAGCCCCCGTGTAACACGCCCCCGGTACCCCAACAGTCAGGGCCGCCGGGCCAGCTCAGCGCGGCCAGCATTCAGACGGGGGCACTCGGCGCAAGTCGATGCTGTGCTGAGGGCCCCGCGCTGCTCTGAACGCCACGAGGATGCTGAGCTGTGGCCGCAGGCGCAGCGGGAGCAGGCAGACGTCCCAGCCCCTGGTGGGCCGGGCTACCAGACAGCCAACCCACGGAGCACAAGCAGGCCGCCCCCTCCAGGCCGGGACAGGGACCCCCCCAGCCAAGCAGCTCCCAACGGGGGGCTGGGCGGGAAAGACCCGAGGGGCGGCGAAGGGGTGTGGGAACGAAGCGGGCACACAGGCTGGCAGTTGAGTGAAAGGGCACCTGGGGGCTGGCGGGGGGGAGGGGGACCTCAGGAAACAGGCTCCCCGCTTGCCCAGACAAACCTTTCTTCCCAGGGGCCCGATTCTGCCGCGTTCTCCAGGAGCGCCTGCGGTCCCTCCGCTCCCCTGGGCGGGAGGAGAGGAGCGTCAGTGAAGCGTTCCCCTCGGAGCCTCAGAGCGTGACTCCCCCCTTGGCCCCCACCCTGGGGGTCAGAGCTCAGCGTNAAGACCCGAGGGGCGGCGAAGGGGTGTGGGAACGAAGCGGGCGCACAGGCTGGCAGTTGAGTGAAAGGGCACCTGGGGGCTGGCGGGGGGGAGGGGGACCTCAGGAAACAGGCTCCCCGCTTGCCCAGACAAACCTTTCTTCCCAGGGGCCCGATTCTGCCGCGTTCTCCAGGAGCGCCTGCGGTCCCTCCGCTCCCCTGGGCGGGAGGAGAGGAGCGTCAGTGAAGCGTTCCCCTCGGAGCCTCAGAGCGTGACTCCCCCCTTGGCCCCCACCCTGGGGGTCAGAGCTCAGCGTCGCCCGTCCTCAGTCCCCGCGGCGCAGGGGACCCGACTGCAAACGTGTATGGCTCCTGCCTCCCACAACGTTAGTGTGACGCTCAGGCCAGTCTGCGCAGATGCCCCCACGGCACAGTTCTCGACGTACATACGCATCCTGAGGCCCTACCCGGAGGACAAGCGCCCAGACTGTGTGTGGCGTTTGCCCTTCTCCGGGTCCACACCTCCGCAGGGCACCCGTTACACAGGTGTGGAGACCTGCGCACACAGCGGATGAATGCCTCGATGTCCCTGCGCCCCGCACAGCCTGGGGACGGGGAGTGAGCCCCACGAATGTGGCAGAAACCAGACGGCAGCGGCTCTGGGTCGTCAGTAACCACATCAAGAGCTCCGCCTGGACCCTATGTCATCCTACATTCTCGATTAATCAGCTAAAATAAACGTTGGGGGGAAAAAACCCAAAAGCTTTAAAAATAGGCCTGTATCCAGTTTCGAAGGGGGGGAGAATTTCTGAGCGCACAGGGCGCCCCCCAGCTCCTGCTTCCGCCCCAAAGCACACTTGTGCCTCCAGGGAGCCGCAGGCTGGTTGGCTGCCAGGCCTGAGTCACCGCTGTTTTCCGCAACAATTGGCAGGATGGCCCCGCGGCATCGTGTGGCACCCGAGGGACAGCAGGTGCGCGGACGCGGGTCCCAGCTCGTCACCAGCAGCTGACACGTCGGATTCTGCAGTCTCAGCAGGTTCATCCTCTGCGCTGAGCTGGAGGCTGGGACCTCCTCACACAGAATCAAACCTCAGAGCCAGTCTCCAGGGGCGATTATGAAACCGTTTGTCATAATCGAGAATTCCGGCAGATCTGGTTACATGTATGCGGTTCCTCACTGGGACCTCGGGGACAGGCCCAGCCGGCTCCGCTGACCCCAGCTGGCCTGCGTTTGAGAGGAGCGGCACTGGGACCGAAGAGCCCCTGGAGCCCCAAGAAAAAGGGCTCTTACTTCCTCCCATAATCCAGCCCTGAGGACTGGGGCCGACCCAGGACCGGTGTCACCCAAGGGTCAGGCTAAGGGGAAGTCTGTCCTCAGCAACACCGGCCACAAAATCTCAGCCTGCTCGGGCCCCGAGCCATCCGCTTAGCCACACAGAGGGGGCGAGGAGACGGACTTACCCGCGGGCCAGGAATGCCCTGTTCTCCCATCAGGCCCGGAGGGCCGGTGGGACCGGCTGGACCCTGAAGGAGGAAAGGAAGGTCAGGGTCAGCGCCGGGTCACGGAGATGCTCCGGGAGGAAGCTCGGGGCGACTCTGCGCCGTCCCCGGAGCCCAGAGCCTCACTCACGCTGCCAGCGGGGGCCCGGAGACCACACTTCTATCCCCGCCGGGGGAGCGGCGGCCCGGCCCAGAACACGATGGGGAAGTTAGTTTTAAAAACACAGGTCAGCCCACGACGCTCGCAGCGCAGTATTCACAGCGTCCAAAAGGAGGAAACTGCCCGCGTCCGTCGGCCGATGAGCAGAGGGCGAGCTGTGTCCGCGCGCACAGCCACGGGATATTATTCAGCCATGAAAAGCGAAGCCCTGTCACATCCTACAGCACAGTGAACCTCGAAAACGTGCTCAGCGAAAGGAGCTGGACACAAAAGGCCACCCATTAACTGACTCCGGTTCCATGAAATGTCCAGAACAGGCAAATCCTTGGGGACAGAAAGGAGACGGGTGTCTCCGGAGCTGGGGTGGGAGGCGAGGGGTGACTGTGGGCATAGGGTCTCCCCCGGGAAGGCGAAAGTGTTTGGAACTAGACAGAGGTGGTTGTACAACTTCGGGAATGTACCACATGCCCCGAATTGTTCGCTGTAAACGATGGGCTTTGTGTTCGGTTTGTGAAATTGACTGTTACCTTAATTTAAAAAAAAAAAAAAAAAAACAA